GTTGCCACTTAAATGCTCATTAGTATGCATTACTCATTACATTACTTGATAGTTACCTCACGGAGTCAAGTGATTTAAACAATGATTATTATTTTAATTAATACTGTTTGTTTTATTATGTTCTAATCTACGATCATAAATCTATTGACATTTCCAAAATTTAGGGGGTTTCGACCGAACCCCCCCCTCCCCCGAACCCCCCAAACTATGGGCCTGGGTTAATCTGTCATTCCATTCTATGTATATGGAAATGCAAACAGACATGGGCTCTTGCAGTGTTAGCAAGTGTTACAGGTGAAAATGTTGACTCCTTCAGGGTTTAATTTTATCAAATCAAGACTTAACACGTTTCTTGTCATCACTGGTTCAGAAAAATGCACATTTCCCAGCATCAGTGTACACCACATTGTATGCCAGTTTTATGCCTGCCCCATGATTATATTATACTTTACATCAAAAGTTTCATTTGATACGAAGTGCAATTTTCACTGCTGGGTATAATAATTCACATTTTATTAATAATTTTATGTATCTGTATTTTATTTTTTTGGGAAAGCATTGCTGCATGTATCTTGGTGATTGAGACATGAGGTTCAAGTTTTAAACTTCTATATTTCTATACAGTTCTAACCCCAACATATTTTTGGCATATGGACTCAAATTATTCTCAATTTCTATGCTCTTTTATTTTTCCAGTATATCCTGAGGATATCGTCGCCTCTTCGAGGAGTACTCCCAGGTTATTCGCCAGAAGTATCCAGGAGTACAGATTGAAGGGGAAAACTTTCCACCACACCTCATAAAGCAATATTTAGCCAATTTAATTGGTATGCTCAAATTCATAATTATCGCCATGGTTATTGGTAGTATCAACCCCTTTGCAATGTTCAACATGGAGACACCAAATTTTTGGACATATGCCATGCAGAATAAGGTAATGGACAACTGTGGACAGATGCAATTGTGTTAAGCGAGTAGTATTGTATGCTGCTACCACGTACAACATTTGATAATCCTAATTCAATGCGACTCGCAGTATGATACAGTCCAAAATAGCTGGCAGGTGGTCTAATTAGCATACACTATTTTAGCATTTATATTTACAAAAAATGTTTAGTGTCACTACCTGTATATACACTCAGTTAAATTTTTGGAGAGCAAGCACAAACATAGTTGAGTGTGCGACCGTGGGTGTATCCAGTCGTTTCTCACACATGCTTGGACTGAAATATGCACATTTATGATCCAATTAAAGAAAAAAAAAAATGTATCAAATTGCGCATTTCCCCATTCAGGAACCTGATGCAAGTTGTGATGGATTTTATTTTTCTAAATGGATTCAAAATGACTGACTGGTGGCTATTTTGTTTTGAAGTATACAGTTTGGATCCATATACATGTATCCAACAAGCATGGACTGTTCATGTTTAAACTTCACACACACATCAGACATTGCATTAAACAAATACATGTGAAAAACTGGTAACGTGTACCTGCTTACCACCCTGCATAAAAAAGCTACAAAAAATACCTATGTTAGATTGCAAGATTGTATCAAAATAATTTTTGTATGTTAATTTCCACTTTCTTTTCTCTAGATGTATGCTTGTTTAATGTTATTTTTCATCACAAATTTTATTGAATCACAACTGCTGTCTACTGGAGCTTTTGAAATAGCATTTAATGGTGAGTGCCTGTTTCACCTTTTTATTAGCTCCGCTGTCGACTATGTCGAGCGGAGCTTATCATATGAGTGATTGTCCATCGTCATCGTCGTTCGTGTCAATGTTTTAATTTTTCAACTTCTTCTTAAAAACTACAAGCCTGAATGCTTTGATACTTGGTGTATATGTACCTTGGGTAGACCTCTGTTAGATTTGTTCATTTCATGATGATATCTTTAATTCTCTAATTTTGGTGAATATTTTTGTCAGTTTTGGTAAAAAGTGATATTTTCGACTTCTTGTTAAAAACCGCAAGTCCAATTGCTTTGATACTACATATATAGGTACTACATGTGGACCTCTCTCAGATTTGTTCATTTTGTATTGATATTTTGGTGAATATTTTTTTTTTTTTTTTTGTAAAAAATTGATATTTTCGACTTCTTGTTAAAAACCTCAAGTCCAATTGCTTTGATATTACACACGGTTTAAAAATTAAACAGGGCGCGCCAATGTGAAGTGGGCGTGGCACATTTGTAACATGCATCATTGGCAAGGATGTTGAAAAATGGAAACCAAAAAATCTATTATTCTACATATTATTTCATATGCATAATATATATTATTACAAAATAAATGAGAATTTTGAAGAGCTATTATTAAGTAAACGTCAACACGTACAATCAGCTGATTTTAGCTGCACGATTCATCACGCGACGACATGAGTTGTTTACCAGTAATGATCGCGTCCAGAAAAAGACGTAACAAGTTTGTTAATTTATTTTCCCAAACAGATACATACATGCTTTATTTAATTTTTAGCAAAAAATTTATATTTATGATTTATATTTATTTGCACGAAGCAAAATAAAATGTATGATGTCGCACAAACGTTCGTAATTAGTTCATTAAAACAACTTGCATGAATGGCTCCAAAAAGCAAGATGATCAAACGAAATAAAATGTACACAATAGAAGATTTTCGACCTGCAGTTAACAGTTACTATCAAAAATAATAGAATTAGGTATAAAAAACAAAATACATACTTAAAAGAATAATTTTCATTCGAATCGAAAGTTTGTTGATGCTTCATTGAAAACAGCTATGACCCGGAAACAGTTCATTTTACTGTGTGCACCCTGATACTATGTGACGATGCTTTTGATTGGCTAAAGCCACACATTGACGCGAAAAACAACCAATCAGAATATTTGTTCCAAGAAGAACACAAGTAAATTTATTTCCTCCACTTATGATGCAAGTTGAAACCATGGCCGTTTTCCCGGGGGTTTTAAATCGCAATTTAAAGAAAATTCAACTTTAAATAGTAACATTTAAATATAAACATTTACATGTTCAAGCAAGCATTCGCGTGGACTTCTTGGTGATCAGCAATGTCTGTGATGGTATGTCGGCTGCGCTGGTCGTTTACCGATCATGCAAGTGCATAGCTGCCTTTGTTCCACTCGGCGGTGACGATGTTGCCGCTACAAGTCACGGCTTGAGCTTGGTTTTAACCATAGACCTTATGTTTTAACAAATGGTTTTACCGATAACGATTTTATATATTTGACGTCACCCTGGCAGTGAAAATGTGGGTACGGTAATGCACTTGTCTAGGCCACATGTTCATTTTTAATCGTGTTGAAAAAACTTTTTGTTAGGTGGTGTTATCATGCTACAATAACAAGCCGTAATTTTTACAGTTGCACCTTAAAACAATGAACCAGTTACCCTGAACAGGATGAATAATTTGTGAAGACAATGAGTGTTGGCATGTCTTGTAAACAATTCTTTGTCTGGGACTATGCAGGGCGCACAGGAAATATAACAGGGCGCTGACAATTTAAACAGGGCACCAATTTCAGATAACAGGGCGTGGCGCCCTGTTAAAACCCCTCGTGGAGAACACTGTTACATATATAAGGTACTACATGTGGACCTCTCTCAGATTTGTTCATTTTGTAACGATATCTTGAATTCTCTAATTTTGGTGAATATTTTTGGTAAAAAGTGATATTTTCGTCTTCTTGTTGAAAACCACAAGTCAGATTGTTTTTATATTGCATATATAGGTACTACATGTGGACCTCTTTCAGATTTGTTCATTTTGTAATGATATCTTGAATTCTCTAATTTTGGTGAATATTTTTGTAATTTTTGGTAAAAAGTGATATTTTCGACTTCTTGTTGAAAACCACAAGTCCGATTGTTTTTATATTGCATGTATAGGTACTACATGTGGACCTCTTTCAGATTTTTCCTGTTGCTTTTTATATATATTGTTCATTTTCTAATGATATCTTCAGTTCTTTAATTGTAATGTGCATTGCTAACAGCGGAGCTATCTCAGCCGACAGGCTGCTTGTTCCATATTTCCCTTGGGAGAACACTGCATTTCATTACTTGTATATGTACATGTTCTGCTATTGTTCTCTTCACAGATGTACAAGTCTGGTCTAAATTAGAATCCGGCAGAGTACCACAGCCTAATGAATTATTTCAAATCTTGGATAACCAGCTGAACTTCAATTTCAGATCATAAAACAAAAAAAAGGTTTGTGCTCTTCTTATTTTACTCCTTTGTAGACCTTATTTGCAAATGACCTAGTTGAGTGAAAGACACATGCAACTTTTTTTTACTACCCCTAAATATTCTCTACCTCTATCGCATTCACTGTTCCAAATACAGTGTTGACATTGACATTGACATAACAAGTTGTGTGGCACTCAACAACATCTCCGAGACCTATTTCAGCAAAAGGTTGGATATTTGGATTTAACTAATAAACTTGTCTTAAATGATAAATGGTGGGTCCCATATAATAACCCAGCATGTATGTTGAATTCTAAATGGCTGCCAGAAAGCACATTACCGTATTTATCCGGGTATAAGCCCAGGGTCTTGAACATGGAAAATTGCCAAAAAGAAGGGATGGGCGTTTGCCAGGAGATCCCCGGCAAAAAAAACGAAAATTCGTGAAAATTTACAACAAGCAGATTGAACTGCGGCAGGGAATAGAACGGCAAATAAAAACATGCAACGGAAATAAATGAACAATATGCAACACTAGAAGTAAAACAAAAATAATGTGACAAATAAACCAGAAAAAATAAAAATCGACAGTGAGAAATCATTTGAATTAGGATTTTCCCGCCGACAAACACGCCCAATACACGTGAACTCAAAATGAATTTAAATGTCAGGGGTTAAACTGCGTAAAATGATTTCCGGTCTCGACAAATTACGAATCAACCGTCATGCAAGATCAATAATAATTTACAAATTTACACAGTAAAAGTCATAAAAATTCATAACTGTTTGAATAAACTTCTCAGATTTTTATTTGTACGTTCTTTGTCATCTTTTGTCAAACTCAAAACCCTCAAATGTCCAAGTCAGCGTCACTGTAGCTGTCAACAAAATCCCTACAACTTATTCCTTAAGTTCGTTGATATCGTCCCACGCAATTTGGATTTAGCACTTTTAATCCACGGATTTCGCAGTCTGTCAGCTTGGCACTTTTCATTCATGTCTAATCATAATAGAGACAAGAAAAATGAGGTCGCTCTGCTGCGATGGCACACAATGCTTTTGTTTACAGTCTAGCAATCATCTTTGAACTTTATGCATCTGCTTTACTGATTGGCTAAGAATGACATCACTACAGTCAAACCTGTGTTAACGACCACCTGTGCAGAGCGGCCACCTGCTCATAGCGACCACCTTAGTACAGTCCCTTCGCAATTTACACGTTAAAGACACTGGATATAGCGACCACCTGTCCAACGCGACCAGCCACCACCCTATTGTAGACCTATTCACACTTTAACCTTTGTATAAGGACCACCAACATTTCCATCAGACTGTCTCAGCAAAAAGACAATAGCTACTTGCGAATCGCTAACAGGAAAGTGGCCATATGTTACGTTCAGATTACCGAGTACGCAATCTTTAGGGCTAATAGACAGGGGTACCATCGCAACTT